TTGATTATGAGATATGGAACACCATCTCTGACATTCCGTTCCCAAGCGATAGTGAACGCTCCGAATGCGAAGTCATAACACACCATCGATAACTAATGTTATAAAAGGAAGTAAAAGTCAGTTCAGTTCAGTCTTACTTCTAATTTCATAAAGAGACGTCGTCCAAATCCGTAAAGTGCAATTCTACTTCTAGTTCTATAGGAGTTCAAGTTCAATTTTGCTATTTCCGTATAATATATCCGTATATTGTAGTGAATTTTTGATAGTGTTAAGTTTGTGAATAGTCAAATACACACGCACGCACGCATATATATACACATAGTGTCGCTTCATTGCCGATCATCGACATGCTCTCATTGAGACTTGGAAGTAAATAAAAAACGCATTAACTAGAGAAAACACCGCGGATCCCAGCTAGAACTGAACGTATGGTGCCAAATGGTTGAGCCAAAAAGTTACAGCTCGTCGCCAAACCCGAGTTCGCGATAGTTAGCACTCAATTTCCACGCAGCTGGGACGTTGTAGAAAAAAAAAACTTAGAAAAAATATTAGAAAAATGAAGTAAAATTAGAATGAAACTTGTAGAAAGTATGCCTAGAAGAATTCAAGCTGTCATTGACGCTAAGGGTTGATACCCAAAACATTAAAAATACTTAATATTAATCACATTATTGATCAAAATTACATTTCCTGTTTAGTTATTATAATAAATATTTTTTTCGATATAATCGATGTTTGTTTATTAAAATGATAATCTCAAGTTATATATTAAATATGTTTCTAAGAATTTTTGGTCGGCGATTGAATTTCACATTTGAATTTCATAAAAAGTGTAATAAAAAAATTATTTGATCAATTTCATGAGTCACTGTAAGCAAATATCAAGAAACTACAAAATTATATAAAATTTTTTTCGTTTACAACATTTAATTTTAAAATTCCATTATTTATACTATCCTAAAAGTAATATATGTTTAAATGAACTAGAGAGGAAAACTATCAACAATATCTGCCTCTGAAAACATTCAAATTTGAAATAAAAATTTACGAACTTTGTGAATCAAAAACAGGATATTTGGAATTCTTTATAGTATATACCGAAAGTAACATACATTTGAATTCGTCATTGATTACACATAAAACACAAAAAACAGTATTATATCTTTTTGAACTATTATTTCATTATGTCCATACTTTATGGATGGACAATCTCCATAAAATTCCTCAAGGCTAATGCCACAGATTGTGCAGAAACAGATAACATTCTCATCCTATCACAAAATAAAATGAGAAGATAAAAAGGCAATAAATATTGCTACTTTCTAGTTGTGACGTGAACACTCACAAATAGAAGTAAACAGGAATAAAGAAAAAATAAAACTAAAAATTATAATAGAATACAATAATGTGATGGATGATGTCGATTTAAAAACTTGGATATCACAAACTTTTACTTTACAACAAACAAACCTTTACTAGTATTAAAAGACAACGCTTGCATTAATGGTACATTAAACTTTTTCAAAGGTTTCTAAATATCATAGGTAAATTCTATAATTATCCACAATGCAAATTCTAACACAAAACCTATGGATTATTCACAACACAGAACTATTTTAATAAAAGGTCTTCTTTATACAGGGTGTCCCTACGTCTTTAGTACAAGCGAGACCGAAATGATTCTACATGAAAAAATAAGTCGAAAAAAAGAATAAAATATTTTCGTCTGAGCTTCTGTTTCCGAGAAAATCAACTTTGAATATTTTCCGAATACGCATGCACTTAGCTAGAATTTGAATGAATCTTGGTACAGACTTACGTACAACAATAACACAATAATGTACAAATGTACACAATTCAAAATCCGCATATAATTTCTGAAACATTTCCAAAAAATATGGAGTGTAAATGTTAGGCCACAATAGTTAGAAACAAAATCATAGGACCACATGTCTTTCCAAATCGACTAAATTGGAAAAGAATATTTGAAATTCTTAGGCAAAGAGCTATTGCATTTGTTAGACGACGTTCCCCTGTCTAGTAATAATCTAATTTTCCAGCACGATGGAGCCCTACCCCATTTCTCCCGAAAGATACGAAATTTTTTAAATGAACGATTTGAATGTTGTGGCACGACCATCACGATCGCTAGATTTAACACATCTTGATTTTTATCTATAAAATCAAAAATAAAATCTAACACAGTTAATAGAAAAAATCGTTTTGGCGTTTGAAGAATTAAAAACACAAAATACGGGAATGTGTATATGTAAATCTAATTCGTAGAACATGATTCGTTGCACAATGGACAGCATTTTCAATAATTTCTACATTGATAATATAAGTTTTGAAATTCATTTTCAACAATTTCTACATTGATAATGAAAGTTTTGAGACATATCTTATTTTTATTTCTAAATACATATTAATAATTAATCAACATTACAAATGATATTAATTTTATTCTTTATTTTCAACTTATTTTTTCATGTAAAATCACCCTACTTTGTTTATACTACCGACACCGAGACGCCAGTACACGCCACCATTAAATGTACGCGTAGTCGGAGAATACTACTCAAAGTCAATTTTTTCGAAAACAAAGCCTCAAACGAAAAAATATTATTCTTTATTTTTTACTTATTTTTTTCATGTAGAATCAGTTCACATGTCTTACTGACGCTTGGACACCTTGCATGCGCATGCGCGTGCGCGTGTATATACGCACGCACAGATATAGATACATATACATCTTTTAATGTAAATTTATATATATATATATATAATTTTACACACACATATATTACATTACATTAAAAATACAAAATTGATTAATTTTTTTCTATTTTCTTTACGTTCATCGAGATCTAATCATTTTTTAATCATTTATACGTAACAAAGAAATCAAAAATGTCTTGTTAAAATCTATGGTAAGATTCTTTTCTTATGAATTGATTCAAAATTAGATTCTAGAAATAAAAAAATATAAAAACTTTATTACAAAATTTATCTTACCTAATGTAATTTAAATTTTATGAAATCATTTCTTTCATTCAAAGTGTGTTTTGACATTTCATATATGTATATATATAACGTATATAACATTATTTTATTTATATTATATTCTTATACACATTTATTTATATAAAATTAGAATTTTTTTTAGTTAAAAACCAAGAATTAATATTACATTACTCATTACTATCGACAAGGTATAGATGTTACATATCAAAACTAAAATATTTGAAAATTAATAAACTATCTAGCATATTCATATTACTTGAAATAATAACATTTTACATGTTCATTGTTTCATACGTACATTTCATATGTTCAAATAAGTACATTTCATTCTTGTTACCACTACAAAAGATAATAGAATTTAAGATCAAGAGCAATTTATATTATAATAATAATTATGAAATATACATAGAAAAACATTATTACAAATGAAATGAAAACATAACAAATTATTACAAAATGACAAGCCATAAGTATACAAGTAATAAATCACATAGATTTATAATCTTTCAGACAGAACTTTCACACAAATCAGATATGTAGATAGATCACAATACATAGATATGTAGATCACAAAGATAAATTGAAATATATTCAATAAATATAATTTCTTATTATCATAACGATCTCTTAACTCATTATGTATGCTATAATAGTAATATTTTAAATTATTTATTACTACTAAACTGTGGACTTTATAGAAAATATAAAAGTATGAAATTGCATAAAATGCACAGAATATGAAAAAATATATAAACATTCAAAATATTCTCTGTAACATTTGGTGCATAAAACAATTTTTTTATTTATTTTTTCATTTATATTCTCAAAAATATGACTTGCACAGAAATTCACAGTTTATTTATTACTATACAGAATGATTCCCATAATTAATCAAATTTAGCAAATTTTATTATGTTATACCTATGATCATTGAATCGCAATTACAAAACAGAGTTATGCTTTTTTGGATATATCAATTTCTTATGTTATTTTATAAATATTTATTATATTTATAATGTTTTATAAATATGCAAAAATATTTAAATAAAATAAATAAAATATTTCATTTTTGAAATAATTCAAAATAAGTCTTCAAACATCTCATTATTTTATTTTATATTACTTATTTATTTTTCTAATCATTTGTATCAATATATAATATTGTATGACATCTATCCATGATATCACTATTTTATTATTCAATTAAATAATACTGTTACAATGAATCATCATATTGCATTATCTATCATAAAATATATCATTTTCTAATATTATACTTATACTATTATAAGTGGTATAATACTTATCATATTAATTTAAATAAGCAAGTCAGATCAAAATAATTTAAAATATGTCAGATAAAAATAATTTAAAATATGTCAGATAAAAATAATTTAAAAAATGACTCCAGAAAAACGACTTTAATATTAACCAGGCATAGATTTCATACGTATCCAAAATATAAACTGTTATACATTCAGTTTCAATGCAGTTAAGTATATATTATAGATAAACTATTTTTATTTATTTGGCAACAATGACTTGATTATAAATAATGATTATAAATATAACTCCTTTTGATTCAATATAACAAATAATTTTAAATATTAATTAAAAAATATATTTTTTAATATTCATTATAAGTATTTAAAAAAATTAGAGATCTAATAAATTATTAAATTGTTAATAAAATTATTTTATGCTTCTTAACACTATAATCAGAAAGTAATATAAATCTATTAACAAAAAGTATATGCATCAAAGTACATAAACACACTGACATAATATCAGAAAAAAATATTATAGAATGATAGAATTTGTTAAGTGCGAAATCATTTTCAATCATTTCTCTTAACTTTATTTTGAATAATGATATAACGTGGCTTGGAATCACTCTGTACGAGTAACTTCTATCATTAATTAATTGAATAATATTAATAATTTAATATTAAAGAATAAATTAATTAATGAAATACCTGATTTTTCCAGCTAATTCTGATGCACTCATTAACAATAAATTATTCTTGACAGGTGGTACTTTCTGTATTTTAGAATCATAATATAACCCAAAAATGAAATCTACTAAAAAATCAAATATTACATGAAATTGGATAAACAAACATTTTAAAAAATATTTTAAGATCTTGATTGTCATTTCAAATATTGTCTGGCTCTTGTCACTTTCCTAAAACATATGAAAATATTTCAGTTAATTTAATTTCACTCATTTTTCTCACAAAAATAATTGTTAAATTTAACCTCAAATATCATTAAATTATAGATGACTATACTAATCTTTATTAAATTACTAAAATTTAAAGCTTATTAATGTTTAATTTCATTTTGTATTTTATTTTGTATTTTATACCTTATTTTATAACTTATGATAAAAAATAATAAATAATTTAAATTAATTGTAAGTTAAAAGTTACAAATCAAATAATCTAACTCTAAATAATTTTGTAGTACTCAATAACCTAATATTATTTAAGAAATAAGAAAAAAAATAATTACATATCTTCGTATTTCTAAATACTATGTACTTAGCTAATATAAATGAAATATAAGAAATGATGTCCTTATAAATAAATGTCATATTACAACGTAAATAAATTTCTTATATATTTACCTGCACTCGTGAATTTTTTACTAAAGTACACATATTGATAAATTTATAGTACAGATATAAAATATTAACTCAGCAACTTTCATGCACGTGAGACATATTTAAATACAAGAAAAATAACATGATATATTATAAATTAAATCTAAGTTGTAAACTGAATTTTAGTAAATAGTAATATAATATTCATTTAGAAAATTAATTTAGACTAATATATTTATACAACAATTTAGTCGGAATATTATTGGCAACGAAATAATCACTAGGTAAAGCTACACATGCATATACATACACGGAAGTATATACTTTTTAATATAACTAGTATCTTATATATTTAATACGTATATATATAATATATACATTAGTATATATATGAAGCATAGTCTTTAATATTAATTTCAAATTCTAAATCGTGATCAAACAATAAATAGCATATCAATGAAATCATCTTGGTTATATATAAATATTTACAATAAAATAAAAATCATATATTATTTAATTTACAATTTTGTTTAATACTAGATTTGTAACATTGTGTGTAGTGTATTAATATAAACTATTAGATATATTTAATAAAACTTTATATTTAATAAAAACTTCATATTATGTATTATATATATTAATATTAGATATTATACTGCGATATTATTACTTTATTATATTATTATTTCATATTATATTGCGATATAATTTACTCTGTTGTATATTTAACAAGTTTTTTTAAAAGGTATTAAATGTAAAAACTAAAATAATTTTTATATCCAGAATTATTTATTCTATATGCAACATTACACCAATGAACTTTATTATACAATAATATTAGTTATTATTATTAGACAAATTAATTAAATATTACCATTAAGTAAAAAAAAATTAGATATTTGAAATTAATCACATGCAACAATTTAATTTATCAGTAAATATAGATAATACCAAATTTCACAATCAAATTTAATTATACTATTACTTTACAATTTCATTTTATTCTTAATACTATAATAATCTTACATAAATTATATATGTATTTTATTATATAATATTAGTTAAATATTCTAATTATTTATGCTTGAAGTTAGCTTCCTAAATTTTTAATTAATTACTTTAAACAAATAGACATTATAATAAACGATTTATTATTAGCAAAATCATGATTTATTAATAATAAAAATGATTTATTATTAATAACAAAATTTTCCTATTTTAATAAACAAAATATATGTTGAAATTGTTATTGCTCCATTCAGCAAGGTCTTTTGTTTATTGCTCCACTCATAAATTCATATTTATCATATTATATGCTTAATGGAAATTTTAAGAACTAACCATCGCAACTTAGATTTGACGCGCCAAATATAAACTGAAACATATAACAAGTTTTTATTTAATAATTTATTGATTTATTGATTAATTGATTAAATGTTAGATTGAAATATTGATTCTGTTTGCTACTTGAACGATCGGATTAAGACATTAAGTATCTATAAGAGATTAATCTTAAGTTAATAAGATATATTTTGATATATGATGATATATAAGATTTAAAATTTTAAAAATGGAAAACGTAGATTCAAAATTCATTCTGATATTACATAGTAAGTAAAGAGTTCTGACGTACTTTAAATTTTGTAAAATTTAATTCCTTATAATAATATAAAATTAAACTCCATTGCAATTCTAAGTTTGTTTTCCAATTTATTATTCAATAAAAGAGTTTGCAAATGCATTAAAATAAACACGTGATCACAAGCGAAGTATGTACAATTTAATATAAATAAATATAAGAAAGTATTTAAATAAAAAAATTTATTACATAATACCATTATATATTCATTTTCGAATTTATTATTATTTAATTATTTACGTATACAGTAAAGATCAAGCACGATATTATTATACAATTTTTATATTCTTTTCTATTTTAATTTGTTCGAATAATTGTATGATATGTAGAAAAATCATACATATTATAAGTAATTTTGTTTAATAGTTACAAATATCGATAAATCTATTGAATTATGCCATATTCTTTTTTTTATTGCAATTTAAAATTGCATTGATTATTAGCGACCATTAATAGATGGCACAGACCTCATCTCTGTAAACAGTTTAGTTTTTGGTTAATTCGTACATGTCGGTCGTGATATATTCTTGGCCATATTCTTGTTTTGATGTTTGTTTACAATACGTAAATATGTTTTAATTTAACGTAAATATATTAAATACATATAAAATGTATATTATATAAAAATGTAAGTGACCAATATATATAGTTTTATACATAGATAATATTAAAAAATATTTTAAAAACTGTGTTTTATAGGTTATGTTTTCATACATAAATTTGATAAATGGAAATTTACAAATATTTATTACTATATATAAAATTTTAATAACTTTATATATTATTTATTAAATAACTTTATATATTAATTATTATTATAACCAAATATAAATAAAAAATATGATTACATATTTAGTTTATATAAATTGTAAGATTTTATCTCAATTCTATTAAAATTATAATATATTTTATTAAATAAAATTGCAGTGGACAACATCAAGAAATACAATTACATTCTGGGTTTACTAAATCAAATTTCATTAAACAATTTGGAAAATAAAACAGAAAATGGAGAAGATTGGAAAAACAAAAGTGGTATGTAACGTTATATTTTCCTATTATTAATCTAAATTACTAATCTTTGAAAATATGTTTTCAGAAACAAGCCATTGAATTCCTTTGGTTAAATAAAAAAAATATGTCAGAAAAGAAAATAAATGTGAGAAAGATTCAAAAATCACAGAATAGTCATAATCAATGTAAAATTATTCATTATTATAAAAGAAGTAGAAGACAACATCCAATAAGTTCTTCAAAATATAGAATACTCTCTGAAATAAAATCGCATGTAAATAAAAAAAATTGGAGTAAAGTTAAGAATCTACTTTTATTGTTACTAAATTTTTCTAATGATATTGAACCATTAATATGGCGTTATTGTCTTATATTTACATTATATGGTCATGTTGATAATTTAGCCAATATTTTCCAATTCTTTGAAATGTGCATTGGTTCTATACATTCTGATAAAAATGTAATATTAAAAAATATATTGTATTTAGATGATAAATAAATAATTATTACACTATAAACAAAATGTTTTATTAAAATATATATTTTGTTCTTTTATTTATTTTTTACAACATGCACTAATGGTTAAAATAAATTTTTAATATTTTTAATTCAAAATTCAAATTTTAATATAATTAAATTCAAAATTAATATATATATATATATATATATATATATATATATATATATATAATAGATAATTTATTTATATAATTATAATTTTACCATATTTTTATTATAGTATAATTAATAATAACAAAAAATCTATATTTATATGCATTTGAAATATAATCTGTATAATAAATAAATAATAAATAAAGTAAAGTAATGAATTCATATAATATCAAAAAAGATATACATAAAATTATTGCTTTAAATTAAGTTCAAATACGTGTTAATACAAATTTTTTATATTAATATCCATCTGATAGGAATATGTTCACATATATACAACTTCTAATAATTTTTATGTTATTTTTGATATTTATTTTCAAATGAAGCATAAACATTTGTACTAGTAATAGAACCTTCCTTTTTCAAATATTTTAATATTTGAATATTATATTTTCCAGTAGAACATGTAAATAACAAGATAATCTACCATACATATGTATTCTATTCCAGTAATATAATATTCGAATTTTAAGATATCTCAAAAATAATTCACATATGGGATAATATTAATTAACACTGTATTTTTTAACATATCAATATAGAAGTTGAGTATTTTGAATTAATGAGATTTGATCAATAAGAATAACATATGCATATTTTAATTTATTTAATATTATTCTAAGATATTTAAATGTATAATAATGTTTATAATTTGTTGTTGAGATAATTATTAGCAACTCATGCCCCTCTGTAAATATAGTTTTTACAAAAGGAATTTAAAATACAATTTTAAATATTCTGTGACTGTGTTTTATTACTATGGTTTAATAAATGATAGAATCTTTAACTAGCAATAAAATAAGAATTAAATAAATTCCTATTAATAAAAGATGACTAAGTATAATAAAATTAAGCATCTGTTTGTAGACTTGAGATATTGGTTGTCATAAATTTTTAGATAGAATATATTTAAATGTTTGTAGCTTCATTTTTACATATCTTTTTATATATCTCAACAAATTATTCTGTGCTCTAAATTTAGCAAATAGTTCCAAAAAAACTTTTTAACGGCATCCTTTTACATAATTTTTTTTTATATTGCCTATCGGTGTGCATGATTCCAGCCAAACAAAATTAGTTGCAACAAAAAGGCAAAAAAAGTTCAAAAGTAAACAATGTTCTCTAGGGATTGACGATCCAACATTTTGATTTTTGTGAAAATTATGAAAATGACAGCTATTTGTTTTTGATGTATCGAATTTATGCCAAAAATTTCTACGTTTTTTGTTTATATTTTTCGAAATTGTTAAAAATTAAAAATTGTTCGATCGTCAATTCCTAGTAAATGTTACGCTAAATATACGTACCAAGTTTCACAGTAATCGATTAGTTAGATTCCGAGATATTTTGCACACCGTTTCTAAAAACCTAGTTTTGAGAAAAACGTGTTTAAAGTTTCAGAACGTCATTTTTAATATGTATCCTTTACTGACTTTTTTTACTTATATATCGAGGCCACAGTTCTTACAATTTACAACTAAATCGAATCCAAATCTTCTAATATTCTATTCATCAAAAGTAATATTTGAATCACACGATTTACACTTTATAAATACTGCTTCAAATTGTAAACAGTGATAAAAATTCAATTATTCTGTAGCGTATTTATTATACTATACATATTATGATATATTATATAAAAATAAGTCGTTTTAAAAGCTAGGACCTTATTTCTAAGACTATTATTCAAACTATTATTAAAAAAAAAAAAAAATCGATTTTTTGAAAATTTCAAACTGTCCTGACTCCTTAATGCCAAGTACAATACCTTTTGATAAGCTTACTTGAATTAACGATTAAATTTTTTTAATTTTATATGTCTATTTTAATATAAATATTGGTGCCTTAATGGTAAAGTTCCAAGTTTTATAATTTTTAATAATAAATATTTAATTTATTGTTTTACATTACATTGTAGTATAATAAGGAGAAATAATGTAGTCTTATAGTTTTAGAATTTTATTCTTTATAGTAATTGTTAAATTTAGAAACTTCAACTTTATGTACAATATAATGATATTTATATACAATAATGATGTAACTGTGTAGGCAATTTCTTGTCCATCGGGCTAGACACTTAAGATTAGAAACTAAAATATTTTAGAAATGATTAATTATATCAAAAAATATTTTAGACAAAAGTTATGTAAATGATTTCGAGAGGGACATTAATTGACATAATTATTATCTTTTAATGTTAATGTATAGGAGGCGTTTGAAAATCAAGTTTGTTTTTTTTTTTTTTAATGAAATTACATATTTTTAATAGACTAATCGGTTCAGCTCAAGCTTTTTTTGCAGTTCAAGCAATTTTGCATTGATAAAGACGGATAACACTTGGAAATGCACATGTAAGTACGTGTAGCTTTCTACCTCATATTTTTGTTGTCACTTTTTAATGAACCATTTATCCTTATGTGACGCTTTACTCTTATTTTTATCTATAGAAAACCTTGTATAAAATAATAAAACTTCATAAAAAATTTCTCATAAAGTAAATATTAAGAAAAAAGTAAACACTAAAGATTGATAATGTGAAAACTTGTATTTACAATTGGCTTAAATTGTAATCATTAAATTAATCATTAAATGAGAAAATGCAAAAAAAAATTAATTCGAATTAAAGTTTGATCCATTAACATTGAGAAATCTTCCTTGAACGAATACCCCGTAGTTTCATCAAACGCTGAAAACCATGAAAGAATGACATTTTATTCTAAAGATGACTTCAATTAATTAAAAAATCCGAGCAATTTTCCACTGAGAATAGTGCGATGAAACGCAGTTGTGAGAACAATAAGAGTGATACGAGTTACAAAGTTCAAGCCAAATATCAAGATTGTTAGTCTGTGTGCTACAAAAATTTGGCCACTCCTATCAGTCTTTGTCACAAATATATTCACAATCTACAAGTGTCTACTATGTTTTATTATCTTTTACAGCAATTCTGTAAATACAGGGTAGAGGTCCATTTAAGTGAGGCCTAAATATCTTTTCGAATTGCAAAAATATTTTTCACCTAAAGTAAGTGATATCGAAAGGCCAATAGCTGGTGAGAATACTTTTTCTCTAAGGTCACTTCCTTTCGGAGTTTTCCAATGTTATTGATCTTACAATCCGTTTTTTCTTTTTTCTTATACAAATATGTATCTTTTTCCATTACATCGTGTAGCTGGTAAAAAAAATACATTCAGATATGTAAAGAACATAACCATGAAATGGTCCTAAAGTTTAAGTTTTACATATAAATTTATCTCTAACAAGATCACAGTAGAAAAGGAATGTCTTTCCGCACACATGCCAGATCCCCTTGTCCTTTTTGTACCAAGATTTTTCATCTTTCTTGTAGATTTTGATAATCTTGTGATTTTTTCTTTATATAATCCATTCTTTCGCGATCGAACATGCCTTCGGGATATACGTTCAATATGTGTTTCCAAACCACTTTCTGCAGGCTAGGTTCAATTCCACCAAAGTATATGACAGTTCATAGTTCTTTAAGATGAATCACTTATCCAATGGAATTAAAAAATCGTCGGAACTTTCGCGGACGTCAACGGCGATTGCGCTTTGCTGATGTGAAGAATCTTCGTTCAAATTGCCCAAAGCACGTTGAACCATATTTAGTGTATCTACAAAGCATGATTCCATTTTTACAACGTATATACCTGTTTTATGCTAAATCTTTTTATATTTTTGAATTACGAAATATTTTATATTTTATGAAATATTTTATATTTTATGAATTACGAAATACTCTTCAAAATGTAAAATAATTTCGAGGAAAAATTTCTCGCGTATTTATTCCTTCGAAAGCATGTGTTTTGGTTTATATAATACTCTATATTCTACGTATTTAAAATTAAAAAAAAAAAAAAACAAAACGAAAGAAGAATTTGACTTTTTGAAGATTGTGCAAATACCATAAAAACAATATAATAAATAAAAGAGTATAAAGAATTGAAGACATTTTGTATTACTAGAAGTAACACGTATTACAGAACTGCAAATTATTATTTAAAGATAAAATGAATTACATACTACATTTAGAATATGTTTTTCAGAAGCTACCGCTAATAACTAATCTTCAGAAAAGAAAAAAACATATTTCGTTTTCTTTGTTGCTTGTAACTTTTTCAATACATATCTATGCGATTTAAACTTCAAAGAGTGTATATTGAACGTGCATGTATACGAATCCTGTATCCCGTTAAAAAGAAATTCGAAAGGAAAATGAATAACTGTATACTGAATCATAGATGAATAAGAAAAACGAATTAGATACTCGCCTTATTATTAAACCTAGAGTTTCCTACGACACTTCGCGGAAATGCTATTGTGGCCGAATTACTAAAAATTTCGAGTGCAAATGTCTGGTCTTTATGCACTGTAAGAAATAAACTTGGCCTTCACAATTCAATAGCATAGGCGACACGTGAGTCGTAAATTCTCCTAACTGCATGTCTGAGAAAACGACTTTCTCCGACATCTGCTAGCCGCTAATATAAATAAAATAAAATAAAAAACTAATAAAAAAGCTAATAAAAATAAATAAAGTGTACGTGTATAAGCGTCGTCAAATTTA